GATGAAGCCGCTTGGTAAGTTCGCCAGCATTTAGAGCGCTTCCTGAGCAGGTATTTACCTGTATGATCTATCCATGGAGGCTGCGCCCGTGTCACCCGTCTCTTAGTGAGTGAGATGTGGGGAACAGAGATTTCAATGAGATATGCCTTAAATTTCTCCCAAGCTATCTCAACGGTGTCAGCCACTGTGATCGCACAACGCAGTATTGAAACTTTGTCTCGCATTGCGTTAAAGTCTGCCCGCCAAAGATTTGGACATGCCTCAGCGTTAGTTTGATAACACTTAGTTAGAGCACATCGAAAGGATATGCAGACATGGTCACTGGCTCCTAGAGGACAGTCGTAGGTAATATCACTTACGAAATCGTGTGACATCGCAAAAATGAGATCCAAGGTAGACGGAATTCGGTTGCGCATATATCCAGTCGGGAGGTCCACGAACTGATGCAAAGGCAGTTGCAATGTTAGCTCAAGGAGATCCGAACCGAAAGTTGCCACCGCCGAACTGCAAGACAGACCACGCCAGCAAACTTCAAGGAGGTTGAAGTCACCCAATATTAGACACCTATTGGCAGCCTGAGTACGAATAAATACAAGAACCTCCCTGGAGATACTTCCAGGACTTTGATATACCATTACAACTATAAACTGAGCAGAGGAAGTGCACACATTAGTCGACAGGGCTTCAACAGTTTGGTCCGGCGACTAGAACACATAAGTCCTCAACACATCAAGTTTACAACTCACACAAAGAGCGACGCCCCCACCTTGGCGGCCAACGGAGCGATCGCATCTAAGCAGTGCGTAGCCAGGAAAACATACTTCACCGTCTGTGATATCCGGGGACAGCCACGTTTCGGTGATAGCAAGTATGTCGGGACGAGATTTGTCTACAAGTAGACCCACCTCGTGTACCTTATTCCTTAGGTTACGCACATTACTAAGCACTACCCGAAAGAACTCGGCACGACCAGCCCTGGGTCGTACACGACCAGAATGGGTTCTGGTAGGGCAGAATTTGAGTTACGGCTGACCACCTGAAAACCCACAAGACGAAGGCCTTGCTCACCAGCCGCCCGCCTGCTCTTGAGGCTTTTGATGGCTTACTTTAGCTTCAGTCGATCGGCTGCCGGACCTCTTCCTACTCAGGTGACGCAGGACGTGCCATGGACGGTTAGTTTAGAGGCTCCGTCGGAGGCCGAGGTCCGAAAGGCGATCACAGCCCTCAATCGTTTTCGTGCCGCTGGCCCGGATTCCCTCTCACCTGCACTATTTAAGGATGGAGGTGAGGTCCTCTGCAGGGCACTGACCTCCCTATTCGAACGTATCTGGAACGAAGAGAGTGTGCCGGCTAATTGGAGCGAATCGATTATAGTGGCAATATACAAGGCCAGTCGCACAGACTGTTCTAACCACAGGGGGTATTAGCCTAACGCCAGTTGTGACAAAATTACTGGCCTCGATTATCGTTCGTCGCCTCACTGCAGAACGGGAATCTCGGATTAGGGAAGAGCAGGCCGGTTTTCGCCCAGGACGTGGCTGTATAGACCATATGTTTATTCTGCGGCAGGTGCTAGAGCAGCGCCACGCATACCGCAGACCGACAATAGCTGTGTTCCTCGATTTCAAGAGTGCGTCCGATTCGGTCGATCAATCGATTCTGTTCGAAATACTTGCGCGAAAAGGTGTTCCCACGAAAAATATGTGAACATCCTTCGTGCTCTATACTCGAACACTACAGGCCGCGTCAGGGTCTACAGTGGCCTATCGGATAGCTTTCCGACCACAAGTGGCATTCGTCAGGGTTGTCCGATTTCCCCGTTTTTGTTCAATTTCGTCGTGGATTCTATCATGGAGTGTTCCCTTGCGGAATCTCACGATGTAGGCGTTGAAGTGCTGCCTGGTGAAAGGTTAGTTGATCTAGATTATGCGGACGATATCGTCTTGCTTTTCGACGATGTTGGGGCGGCACAATCAACCCTGAATATCCTCTATGTATATTTCCCATTATTTGGTATGCACTTCGCACCTTCAAAGTGCAAAATGTTGCTGCAGGGCCACCAGCCACTTGATGACCCCTTGACGCATGCTAACGAGGAACTCGAGGTGGTTGATCAATTCACTTACCTTGGCAGCTGCATCAGCAATGATGGGCGCATAGAAACTGACGTCAGCTCACGCATTGCAAAAGCCAGAGCTACCTTCTTGAACCTGCGTCATCTTTGGCGACAGAAGGGAGTTTCCCTCCGTCTGAAAGGCCGTGTATACAAGGCCACAGTGAGGGTCGTTCTGCTTCATGGTAGCGAAACTTGGCCCGTTCGGCCTGAAGATCTGAGGCGCCTTCAAGTCTTTGATCATCGTTGTCTGTGTAGCATTGCTGGTGTCGGATGGCACCAGCGTGTCCGCAACGATGATGTGCGTAGACGAGTACTGGGTAGTGATAATCATGATAGGTCCTTAGAACAACAGATAGCACTGAATAAGTTGTGTTGGCTTGGGCACGTGCTACGCTTGCCTGGTCGCCGCTTACCAAGGAGGGCCTTGTTCAGTCTACCAGGTGTAGGGTGGCGCAAGGCTCGAGGTGGACAGAAGTTGACTTGGCAGCGGGAAATGAAGTTACTGACGACCAAACTGGGTGCCGTTGGTCCGTCTCGCCTTCCAAGTCGGAGTCCACGTGATTCACCTTGTGCTTGGCTCGAGACTTTACAGGACATGGCTCGCAACCGACACCAGTGGCGCGTCTGCTGCCGTCTCCTATTCGGATTGTCTGTTTAAAGTGTGTTTGGTGCTGAGTTATCTGCGGGGTAATGGCTGATTATGACGCGTGGCAGTGAAAGCCGCAAGGAAGCTGTCTCGCCGATGCCGCCTTATCTTTGCACGATAGCCAGCTGTTTGTGACGGTATGTTGTCTACACAAGGTGTAGGCGCCTTGACCCTGAATGTTTGCTTAGGGCATTAAGGTTTTCAGGTAAGTCCCCCTTCTCTCCCTCTTCTTATTCTTTATTTCATAGGTCATCATGGTTGTATGGCATCGAAGCATCAGTTCAAATGGCTGATGTACTGCTGTTGTGATGATGGGCTGGCTTGCCGAACAACCTCCTCGTGGTGCCAGCTGGGTGGTTCGAGATTTTCCCGTTCCAGCAAATGGTTCGGCGGCAGTGTTCCAGGACGTGGTGGGTTTTCGCCTGGCAAGCGTTCTCCCTATAAAAAGCCACATATGTCCGTTTAACAACACTGTGACGTGGCGGATGTGACTCGCCACTAAATAAAGTCACTGCCCCTTGCTTCATTCTGGCGAAGCATTGTATTCCAGCAACCTTATGCTGTACTTCTGGGGAGCATTGGGCCCCTGTTTGACAAAGGAACAAACAAAAGGCGTATGAACTGAGCAATCAGTCACCGGCTCCCAATGGGCGCGATTCCCTGAATTCGCTCCGCTGCCTTGCGGACAGGCTATTCAGCCAAAGGCTCGGGGTGGTGTCCCCTAAGTCAACACCCTACTTCGGCTTGGGCAACCGGGTAGTATCTCGCCCTCTGAGGAAATCATGGACATTGTTGTGTTGTGTTTTATTTTACTGTTTCTGTACCTTCGTTTGTATCCCATGGTTTCTGATGGCATTATGTCTGTTAACAGACTTTTGCAAATATATATATATATATATATGTTGTGATGATGAGTCGATCTGCCAGTGGGAGGTCCAGCTGAATGCTGACATTACCACCCTTGAGTTTGAAAGCAAGGCGCATTAACGCTTTGTGTTCCCCTGGGGTTAAGAGGACTACACGAAGTAGTCGGGGTCGAGGATTTGGCCTGTCTACAGGGACGTTCCCCAATCTGCTTAGTTTCCTGATAGTGACACCGGGGAAACCAGGTGGAAGCATCTTGTTGACGCAGAGATTGAACCACTGGAGGTCATCCAGCATGCGTTCCTTTGGAAGAGCTGCCGCGGATTCAGCAACGTTACGAAAGATAACGCTACTATCAGTAAAAGAATCGCCTCGACTAGGCGTATTCACTCCACGCGTCTTCGACGCGACCCCAGTTTCGACCGGTTTGGTAGATGACACAGCGCGTTTCTTTGCCAAGTGAGCTGGAGTAATTGAGGTTGAGGCTTTAATCTTTGCCTCCAACTCCCTCACCGGTCTAATCTTTTCAGACTTTGCGGGTGTGGTCGAAGTCGACACGGCACGTTGCTTCGCCAATGGAACTGGGGTGATTGAAGTTGGAGCTTTGTGTTCCACCTCCAATACCTTAATGCTTTCAGTATTTTCAGGCTTTGAGGCAGCCTTACGGACTTCCTTAGCCCTCTTCCTCTTGCTTTTATTGGGCCCAGGGGCCATAAGTTCGGTCTCGCTTTGGACGGCTTCCAGTACGACATCAGAGGCCCCTTTAGAGGTATTCTGGGCCGCTGGGACACACGACACGGTAGCCATCACCTCAGTCGGATTTCCATCGACAGCAATTGAGGTTAGTTGTGTGTCTTCCTCCAATGAGCCGACATCAATAGAGACTCCCATATTCCTCATCAGTAACTCCACTTTCCGATCAAGAGATGTGAGGAAGGACCACAACTGCTGGTTACCCAGCCCGACGTTGCTCGATGACCTCATTGACCTAAAGACGCGTAGATCGACGGCGACGGCATAGAAGACAATTGAACAGCATGCTATCGCTAGTCGAAAGCATTGTGTACTGATCAGGGCTCAAATCCGTACAGGTCTCATGGTACCAGCAGTTGCATACATAGCACTGCATGACACCAGACTCGTCCGTCACGGGTTTTGAGCAGCTCCCGCTGCCACATACAGCATTAGATTCGCTGATCAATGCAGCCGAAGACACATTAGCGCCGGTATTCAGTGAATCCGACATGACGCTTTCAAAGAGTGTGAAACAAGTATCAAAACGTAAAACCGACAAGCTGTTACCTGCAGGGCAGTCAAAAGAAACAGTTACGGGTTAAAACAAGGTACAAAACGGATTACAAAACACAAAAATACCGGAAAGATAGCCAGAGGCTGAACCCGAAAAAGATGGACGACGTTGGTAAGTACCCAAAAACGGGTACGACGTAATCCGGCGAAAACGATGATCCAAAATTCTTTGGATCAAGTGAAATTTGACAGAAGTCAAATTGTTTGCACGACACTTGTAAACACACTTCCGGAACTGTCCTTTGAAAGTAAAACCTCAAAAAGAGAGCGCTCTGAGAAAATTGTGTTGCTTGAGGACGTTCCGTGGTAAGTTAACGTTCAAGTTCAAGCGGGACTGGAACGATAGGATTATCCCGTGAGTGTTCCTTCTTCGGCGGGTCGTTGAACCAAGAGTTGGCGAAATTTGAAATACTGATGGACCTAAAACAAAGACCGTATCACATCCTGTCCAACCAATAAATGCCCACGTATCCTGCCCTAGCAGTCCCTGCTGGGCCGGTTACGTGAAGTAAGAAAGAGAAAAAAGTAAACTCAGAAGGCAAAAGAGTAAGTGGAAAGAGCTAGGCAAGTGGAATACCAAGATATTTGAGTCATTAAAAAAAGAACTGAAACGTGGTGAGTCAGCTAGGAAAAAGGAAAAGTTTACTGTTGCCACCCAAGAGCATCGAGCTGGTGCGCAAAACCCTTAACCGTAGGTTCCCTAACCACGTAATCTGGAAGCGAATTCCAGCTATCTATAACTCGGCGCGATAGACGAGTTTCCGTCCTAATCCTATCAGACCGTGGTTTATGCAGTTTCGGTGGGTGACCGCGGAGATTAGGTAACGTAGCGGGACTAAATAGCCCCGACAAGTCCGGGCCAATGTTACCCGTCAAAATACGATAAGTGAGAATCAGGTCCCCTCTTATCCTTCGGTAGTGGATGGAGTACATACCCAAACTGAGCAAGCGTTCAGGATACGTCTGTCCCCGTAGACCATGCACTAGCCGGGTGCCCACCCGTAACACCCTCTCAAAGTCCATTTTGTCTCGGTTAAGACATGGTGGACAAGCCTGAATACAATATTCCAGGTGGGGTCGGACGAATGCCGAAAATAGCTTCACAAACAAATTGGCCGTTAAGATTCCGAAAGAGCGGCGGATAAACCACATCATACGTAACTCTCGACAAGCAGCCTTCTTCCAGTTGTCTCCAGAATGAAGTGCTGATGCGTGTACCTCATCATCATCATCATCATCAACAGCAATACATCAGCCATTTGAACTGATGCTTCGATGCCATACAACCATGATGACCTATGAAACAAAGAATAAGAAGAGGGAGAGAAGGGGGACTTACCTGAAAACCTTAATGCCCTAAGCAAACATTCAGGGTCAAGGCGCCTACACCTTGTGTAGACAACATACCGTCACAAACAGCTGGCTATCGTGCAAAGATAAGGCGGCATCGGCGAGACAGCTTCCTTGCGGCTTTCACTGCCACGCGTCATAATCAGCCATTACCCCGCAGATAACTCAGCACCAAACACACTTTAAACAGACAATCCGAATAGGAGACGGCAGCAGACGCGCCACTGGTGTCGGTTGCGAGCCATGTCCTGTAAAGTCTCGAGCCAAGCACAAGGTGAATCACGTGGACTCCGACTTGGGAGGCGAGACGGACCAACGGCACCCAGTTTGGTCGTCAGTAACTTCATTTCCCGCTGCCAAGTCAACTTCTGTCCACCTCGAGCCTTGCGCCATCCAACACCTGGTAGACTGAACAAGGCCCTCCTTGGTAAGCGGTGACCAGGCAAGCGTAGCACGTGCCCGAGCCAACGCAGCTTATTCAGTGTTATCTGTTGTTCTAGGGAGTTAACATGATTATCACCACCTAGTACTCGCCTACGCACATCATCGTTGCGGACACGCTGGTGCCATCCGACACCAGCAGTGCTTCGCAAATAACGATGATCAGAAACTTAAAGGCGCCTCAGATCTTCAGACCGAAGGGGCCAAGTTTCACTACCATGAAGCAGAACGGCCCTCACTGTGGCCTTGTATACACGGCCTTTCAGACGGAGGGAAACTCCCTTCTGTCGCCAAAGATGACGCAGGTTCAAGAAGGTAGCTCTGGCCTTTGCAATGCGTGAGCTCACGTCAGTTTCTATGCGCCCATCATTGCTGATGCAGCTGCCAAGGTAAGTGAATTGATCAACCACCTCGAGTTCCTCGTTAGCATGCGTCAAGGGGTCATCAAGTGGCTGGTGGTCCTGCAGCAACACTTTGCACTTTGAAGGTGCGAAGTGCATACCAAATAATGGGAACACTCTGGATAGGCTATTCAGGGTTGATTGTGCCGCCCCAACATCGTCGAAAAGCAAAACGATATCGTCCGCATAATCTAGATCAACTAACCTTTCACCAGGCAGCACTTCAACGCCTACATCGTGAGATTCCGCAAGGGAACACTCCATGATAGAATCCACGACGAAATTGAACAAAAACGGGGAAATCAGACAACCCTGACGAACGCCACTTGTAGTCGAAAAGCTATCCGATAGGACACAGTAGACCCTGACGCGGCCTGTAGTGTTCGAGTATAGAGCACGAAGGATGTTCACATATTTCGTGGGAACACCTTTTCGCGCAAGTATTTCGAACAGAATCGATCGATCGACCGAATCGAACGCACTCTTGAAATCGAGGAACACAGCTATTGTCGGTCTGCGGTATGCGTGGCGCTGCTCTGGCACGTGTCGCAAAGTGAATATATGTGTCTATACAGCCACGTCCTGGGCGAAAACCGGCCTGCTCTTCCCTAATCCGAGATTCCCGTTCTGCAGTGAGGCGACGAACGATAATCGAGGCCAGTAATTTTGTCACAACTGGCGTTAGGCTAATACCCCCTGTGGTTAGAACAGTCTGTGCGACTGCCCTTCTTGTATATTGCCACTATAATCGATTCGTTCCAATTAGCCGGCACACTCTCTTCGTTCCAGATACGTTCGAATAGGGAGGTCAGTGCCCTGCAGAGGACCTCACCTCCATCCTTAAATAGTGCAGGTGAGAGGGAATCCGGGCCAGCGGCACGAAAACGATTGAGGGCTGTGATCGCCTTTCGGACCTCGGCCTCCGACGGAGCCTCTAAACTAACCGTCCATGGCACGTCCTGCATCACCTGAGTAGGAAGAGGTCCGGGAGCAGGGGGCCAGCTGAACTGAGCTTGAAAGTGTTCCGCCCAACGAGCCATACGGCGCTCCTTATTGTGTATCAGCGTACCCGCGCTGTCTTGGATCGTCTCACTGACGCCTGGTTTTCTGGGACCAGTGGTGCGTATTAGCTGGAAGAGCTTGCGGTAATTGCCTACGGCTCCTGCCTCCTTCATTTCTTGAGCCCGACTGGTCCACCAGGCTTACTTGTCAGCACGTAGACTCGGCTTTAGTTCACGCCAATAGCCCGTCTGGTCACATTGTGTTCAGAACCAGCCGGGAGGTGTCTTCTAGCTTCCAACAGGTTCACGGACCTCTCGGATATCCAGTGACTAGTGCGGTGACGACTGATAGTGCCACAAACAGACGATCCTGCGTCGTGCATAGCGGCCGAGATCCTATTCCACTGAAGTTCAGTGTCATTAGGACAAGACAGCGAGAGTTCGCTATGCAGTGCTTCTTGATAGGCTTGCCTGACCGAGGGCTGGGACAATTTCTCCGTTGCCAATCGGGGGAGACGCTTGGTGCGCCTTCAGGTAAAGTTCATGGAGAAACGACAGCGTACCAATGCATGATCAGAGTCGACACAGGTACTCCAGTACGAGCGGCAATCCAGAATGGAACCGCGCCACCTGTAACCTATGGCTATGTGGTCAATTTGGGTCCATCGCTGGCCAGTTACAGGTGGACGCCAAGTGGCACTTCGGCGCCCACTGTGTCTGAAAGCAGTGCTACTAAGAAACAACTGGTGCTCCGCACACAATTGCAGCAGACGTTCGCCGTTGTCAGTCCGTTCGGAGTTAAGTCCATAATTACCACCCAGCTGAGCTTCTGAAGAGCTCAGACGCCCTACTTGTGCGTTCATATCCCCTGCAAGTACTATAATATCTGAACTAGTAGCACTGCGTAGTAGGGCGTTCAGTTCGTGATAGAAAGTGTCCTTGACTGCATTAGAACTGCAGTCGGTGGGAGCATAAACGGAAATCACAAACAAACAGCGTTTTGTACTACTTCGCGAATTCACCTTAGCTGATGTCGTCAAACGGGCTGCACATAAACGGCTGTTCACCGGAATCCAATCAACCAACGATGACTCAGCCTTGGAGCTGAGAATGATACACCAGCTTGACCCGTGAGTGCCGCATCGACGTCTACGGATGCGTGCAACCAATAACGAGAGGATAAGCCGGGTGCAGTCAATTTAATAACCCCGTTAGGGTCATTAATCCTAGTTTCGGACACACAACACACATCAACACCCAGTGTGTCCAAGGTGCGTGCGAGTGCAGCCTGCTGACCTGTTTGTCCTAGAGTGCGGACGTTGAATGTCGCCATGGAAACGGGACAGCCTGGCCTTACAAGGGACTTTTGCCGATAGGCGTCCGATAGGTGCTGTGGAATGGTGACTGCAGACGGTACTACTCCAGTAGCACTTCGGTTGCTGTCAATTAAGCTGGGAGTTATAGAAGGAAGGTTAGTAATGGGGGCCAGGATGGGAGTAAGAGAAAAAGGTGGAAAAGAAAGAAGGTACTCGCTAGCAGTAGCATGTTTTCGCTTATCCGCCCTGCTGTATGCAGCAGATAAGGCGACCCTTGATAATCTGCGCGACGGCCGATGCAGGATGAAGTTTATGTTTGAAGAAAATGTCATGGTTGTATGTGGGCTGGGATACTGCCAGGGCGCCCAGACCTAGACAGGAGGACGATTAGGGTCCTCATCCAAAGCCTTTGGCTCAAAAGCCTGCCCGCAAGGCAGCGGGGTGGCAGTGATTTAGTTTTACAGAAATGGACACCATCCCATTTCAAACCCCCAACCTGGAGGACCAGGAGACTGAGTTTGTCTGACCTCTCACCATTGACCAACCTGGTAGGAGTAGCTCTCAAGATGCTCGGAGGCATCACCCAGTATAGCTCAATGGGTCAATGAGGTATGCAAACCGTCGCACCACGTTAAGGTCCAGTCTCGTTGCGTGTACGACTCCTAAATCAACCTGCTGAGTGACAACAAGGAGTTCGCCACCGCCGACAACATAACGGACGGGAGGA